TAGAAGCGCGCGCCTCAAAAGCAGTGATGGCGGCAGCGTAGCTCCAGGTAAGCTAAGCGCAAGCGATTAACGGCGGTTCCAAGGATTAAAATATATGCACATACATCCACGGCAGAGAGCGGAGATCCGTTGGTCTTGGAGAACTGTTCTGCCAGAGCGCCTCCAGAGCCCTGGTACTGCTGGACAATTGCAACGAACCCGTCGGCATAGGTCTTCACGGCGTTGACAATGGCGGTGTATTGAGTGGTGGTAGAAGCATACGTGCCGACAGCTGCGCTCGAGTAGAGCTACATTCAAATGGATTAGATTTCATCTAAGTCTGTGTAAGGGTCAGCCCACCTGCTTGAAGAACGCCAGGGAGGTAGAGGTAATAGTGATGGATTTTTGTTTGTTCCAGGTGTAAAGAGCGTCATAGAGCTGCTCGGCTGCGGCAGTTGTGCACAGATACCAAGGCTATTTTCGAGAGCGTAAGCAGTATTCCAGTACGTGGAGATCCGACTTACATTGCCGTTGTAGTAACTGTCTTCCTTGTAGCGGCCAACAGAAACGGCAGCACTGGCAGCCTTGCCACTATTGATCGAGTATACAGAACGGAACGAATCGACAACAGCCTTGTGGTTGGCAAGAGCCTATTATAGCCGAGTCAATACCTAATATATAGGCGAATTTAGAGCTACAAACCTTGTCAGAGCATGGTTGGAAGGTCGCGGCATCGCAGCCAGTAGCAGGATCAAAGGTATGAATGCTAGCCAAAATCGAGTTTGCATCAAGGCCAGACCGAACGACGGATCCTCCGTTGACGTTGGAGGACGCATATAGCTGGGTAGGATTCCAGTAACTCTGAAGGAAGCAGAGTGCGTTTGCAGCCTGAGTGGTGTATGTCGACGCCCGGGTCGAGTCGCCAAGAGCAGTGGCAAATTTAGCACCCTCTCGGAGCGCACGGTGTTGAACAGCGGTGGTGAAGAAAGAGGAACCTTGCACCTCCTCCCATAGGTCGAAACCTGCAAGGAGTTAGGAAGTGACATGTCTTTTTGCAGAGTACATACCAGTCTGGTTCCAATACTGAGCAACATAGTCTAGATCAAGCTTGACAAGCGGCCAGACGGTGCCAGTAACGTAGGAATTGGTAGTGCCCAAGTAATTGGCATATGTGATCATGGTAGTGGCCCGGAGCTGCGGCAACCCATGAGTAAAGGCAGATAGTTGAAGACTATAATACGCACAGCTGGGCCATCACGCTGTGGGCGACCCCATGCTCCAGTAAAGGCCGTCTCATCAATATTGTACTTGGGTTCACCAAGCCCTCCACTAGTGACGCTACCGGAAGGGTTGGAAACCTGCTGAATGCGCCCCTGAGAAGCAATCCAGTTCTGGATTTGGGTGTTTAGAGTAGTATCACGGCCTTGGGTATATTGGTCGACCAAAAGCTTGAAAACGAGCGAGGAATCACGAGTCCAAGCATATACGTACTGTAAAGATATAAGTAAGTTTGCAAGGTCAAAAGAGTTCAAGTCTTACGTCGGGGTTTCTATCCAATACATAAGTAAACTGAAGCTCCTGGGTTATAGATTGAACTCACGACTTGGAGGGGGATGCAATTACTACTCCAGATTTTGCGCCTTGGTCCTTGGAGCCGTCCGCGCCAATATTGGCCTATGCAAGTGCATAAGGAAGGGAGCTGTTTAGGAGCCAAATCTACTCACCAATACACCGGCTTTAGCAATCGGGGTTTCAGTCGTGATGTAGCTGTCGATGGACGACTGACGCCGGTCGAAGCCTGGGACAAGAGCGAGAGTCGCGGTGGCAAATGTGAGTGCAGTAGTAAAAACACGCATTGCTGGGAAGGATGTATTAACAGCTCCCCGTCAGTGCGACTATTTATACGAGCGGACGCGAGGAGAAAGTTTGTGTATGCGAAATAGGCAATGAGCGTATGTGTTCTGAAAGATCCGTCTAGGTTTAGCGACGTCGTCCGGCGCGAAGGTGGGGAAGAGACAAATGCGAAGTCACGCTCATGTGGATCAGGGGCTTGACTGGTCAGCTGGTCGCTACCAATAGGGGTATGAGCACATAAGAACTTCGTTTAGGCATCACACACTATCGAAAGAATGGATTCTGGAATTGCCAATCGGGTGTAGCTGGAAGACTAACAGACAGACCCACGTGAGCGACATCAACGCCATGTGTACCGAACCGGTTAGTTCATACCCGAGACGTAAGTGATAATTCCGAATATGGACCAGCCTCCAGTGTAGGCACCTCTTGTAGGCAAAGATAATCATTATTTGGAGGACCTCATGACTGATCAGGAACGTTCCTACGAATATGTATTTCTCCGAGAGTGTTCTGAAAGATTGTTCGTACGCATCATCTTGTCAAGAGTGGTAAATTAACGTGAGTATGATCAGAAATGATCAAATGGCCAAGAAAAAATTCCCCAGCATGTCAAATAGAGGATTTTTTCAATCGGACAGTCTTGCGCAGGTGACTTTGCGGATTGGCCTACCATGTGTCAGTACATGCCGGCACATATAGTATGAAACCTACAAGTTTATGCCTTTTCACAGACTCTGCCCTCTTGCGCGCGAGTTTTGCTTGTATCACGCTGTGGACAGAAGCGTCACGGCGTGTTGTAATCGCGTGGTCAGACTGTTCGTTTTTGGGCGCGGCAGCTCTGCGGTCTCGCCGACGCTGTCGTTTGGTCATACGCCGATCCTTTTTGGACATTTGGGGCTCGATCTATATGGGTCAGAGCAGGTCACTGCACTAAATTTAATACTCACTTTGACCTTTTCTCTCGGAGCAATCTTTACAGATTCGTCCAAGGCAGCAACCAATAGTCTTGGGTCTTCGTTATCATCTCCGACGCGAGCTGCCAGGGTAGCAAAGCGTTTCGCTCTTCGCAGATGTGTCTAGTTTTGTGTTTAATGAATAATATGAAAGGTGCCGACGGGCTTACTGAAGAGGCTACATGGACCGAAGCCATCTGGTCATGTTTGAGCTCCTTTCCCGGACACAGTATGCACGCCTTGACATCAGCGCCTTGCGCTGGGTACAAGGGGTTAGATAAAGCCTGAACCACTGTCATTGGAGGCTCATCGTCCTCATCCTCGGGTCCGTCATTGTTGCCAGTTTCCTCTTCCGGCTCGACTTCAAAAGGCTCTTGAGAACCATCGTCCGAGCCCCGAGAGCTGTCGGAGCTAGAACCCGAATCAGACTCGTCCGAGTCGTGCATCCCAAAATTTTCCCTCGTCTCCTCGTCATCTCCCATAGCTTCTTCCTTTTCTCTTTTCTGAACGCGCTTATTGATTCGTTTGTACATGGTGGTGGTGGGTAGAACGAGCAAATGGAGCCGTAAGCGCTGGGCTCTTGGGTTGGAGTGGCGTTCCCGGAATAATCAACCTCACTGAGCGGGGGTAGACAGGTACCGCTCATGGCAACTTGGGTTGTGTAACTTTTGTGCGAGGCTCTTGGTCTGTTTGTTATTTTTGAATTGCTGGTAGCCTAATTGAAGCGCTGCACAAGCCGAAGCGACGTTAAGCGCCGGACGCCTGGTAGGCGCCACGGAGGAGAGTTCAGCTGTTACTCCTCTTGTGTGGGCCATTAAATTCAAGCATAAATACAAGCAGATTTTATGATTAATTTGACCCTAATAATGTGGTGGTATGGAGTGGTTCTGAGCTGGTTTGTCTCTACAAAAATACCCAACCTTCGTACTTGCGTTCTCAACGCCTAGGACGTGTGTCTGGAGCTACAGTAACTCGAAAGAGTCGCAAAAAGAAGTTCCCGCTAGCCGATTTGAACGACTGACCTCGTCATTGTGCAAATACCTATTAAACCGCCGTTCAAGTCGGGGGGGAATTTACTAGTGACGCGCTCTACCACTGAGCTAAGCGGGAGTAATTATCGAGCTACCAAAGTACGATCAGTCATGCACCATTGCTATGACACTAACATGTGGTCTGTGAGAAGTTTTTACAGTGCTCATTCGCGGAGATCGAACGTCGGCCGAGATTTCGGCGAGGTGGTGTTGCGGCACGTGATAAACCCACGAGCGCTTAGCATTCACTGGGCTCTCAAGTGCTTCGCATTGAGCACTTGGTAAACTATATGGTCCTTTTCTCCTTGAAGAAGCACTTGCTTCGCATAACCCAGTTATGAGCCCGTGTGTACGTTGGTTACTGCTGGCCGTTCATTGTCCAACGTTCACCGTATTTCCCTCCTGTCACCTTTATCTGCCCACAAGCATATAACCTCTGACGGCGATTATTAGACTTTAGAGCTGGCAGAATATAGGCCTCGACTGGTACCTCAGTCCATCTGGCCCAACTCGGATTTGGAGTTGTCGCACCGGTTTAGCGCCAGGGCTTCAACCTCTTGATGTGCATACTATATGCGCACCATTTACACCAGCCCCATAGAAGATACTATCCCGGGAGGCAAAGGGCTTTTTGAGGACTTAGCTAAGGAGAGAGGAAGCTCAGGAATAGCTTAGCTATTGGTGCTTAAACTCAAGTTAGGGTTTCATCAACTCTCAATCTAACGCAATGGTGCGTACCTCGGCCTTCTATGTACTCTCATTTACATGTACTAAGAGTGCTTATTAAGCCGCTGATGTACCACCCTTCGCCATCTTCGGGGACAGTGAATGATGCAGTGACTAGAATATCGGCGTTTAATCCAAAGGCTATTCATACTGAAAATTTCTTGTGTAATAATATTAGATGCACTTTGAAACGCATATACTCAAACCTGACGTAGATTGATAGACCAGATTGGCCTCAGCTTGAGCAGAGCACGGATAAACTACATGAACAGCGGTCAGAAAGAAACTACGGTCAGTTTGGTTTTTATGGCAGGGGTAATCGCCGCAGGCCTGAATTTTCTGAAAGTGTCGAAGATTTGTTCACCTTTCCAGTAGGTAGAAGAGGGAGAATCAACTGAAGTTTAATTTCGGAGGTTTGGGGCTGCTCTTAATCTACCATACTACGATTTGCATACCCAACTAGAATGTCGCAGTTTTACTCGCTCTTATAACACCGGAAGCCTCTTGCTACACGTTACGTAGTATTAAGTCCGCTGTAACTTTGCACTTCTAAGAATAGAAGTTAATAGAGGACCCTAAAAATGCATAACATATAGTTTACTCTGTTAGTAACGTTGACGCGAGCCTCTCTTCAAGTCCCGCCAAGGACGACCGCTACCTCCAAGAATTCCATGAGATTCCTAGCTTGCTGTAAGCCAAATGCCCTTAGTCAGCAGGAGAACCGAGATCATATCATATATACTTCGGCTCAAACATTAAAGGTACTGGATGACCAACCAGAAAAAATACAATATCTGCTTATAGCAACCTTGCGGCCGTGGCTACACTATCTAGGAGTAATTTGATATCGTTCCCATTCTCAGGGTTGTGAGCTGCCCACCTTGTAGATTTGACCTCAGACTGAAAAGGAGCTATCGTGGTCAGAGATATTCTTTCGGAGAGGTACCATCTTATGGATAACGCAGCCATCACCCAACAACGCAGCATGGCTGCATTATATGCGCTTCAACGTAAGCGTGAGGTGTGCTGGTAATACAACCGCAGTACGCCGAGCAAAGTATTAAACAGAAGCTTAGTAAGTTCTTCCGATAATTGAATCAAGCACCTACTAGCCAATTACGTTGGACAGTGACGAAGCATGCTGTATGCCATGAAGCAAAACACCTGGATTCACCATTGCAGCTGTTTTAGTTTTCTTCAATGCTATGGCTAAAGTCGGGAGGCAAGTATCTGAATAGTGCTCATACCGCTCGCATATCTTGTGTTAGATTTAAGAACAGAGACGAATGTAGTTTTCAAGCCCCGTTCAGAAAGTTCAATAGCATGATACAAAGCAAAATATCGACAAATGAAGAAATAAACGTTTAAGGTAACTTCACTCATCAGCACAAGCATCAGCAGACCCGTCTGCCGCTGCGGCCTCTCGCCTAGATACAGTATCTTCGGCTCCAGCCCCCAAAGCACCACGGCTTCCTCATACCTAATGTCTGCAGTCGCCCAACATCTGCATCACCCAAAACGTCTTACGCCTTCAACTGACCTAACTAATCGTTCTCTATCTATTATGGCACTTTTTCTTCGGCTGGGATGCTACAGCTAGCTCAGAGCATATCCTGCTGTAGCTCTTACCACGATGCCGATAAGGTCATTTGTCTCTAAACACCAAGCAAGTCCTAGGACTCGCTCCTTTAGTCAAGTATGAACTTTGAGCCCCGGTACGACGGGGCCTAAAGTTTATTCAGAGTAGATAGAAGATGTTGCGGACAACGTAGAAGTTTGGTAAGCAGCAAAGCAGTTAGACTTAGAAGTGCCGCATTATATTAATAAGATAAACGAGAGTTAGAAAGTAGTCATTCATAAGGCTGAAAAACATTTGGGTCCTCTATAAGTGCAGTACGGCGCTACTTTATTTGCAATCTCGAACAGCGCTTGTTCGAGGCAGTCCCTTGGGCGCTTAATTGGCGTGGCCTCAGCCATAAAGGACCGTCTCAATGCGGCAATCTCGCTTGCCCTCACCGAACAATGTCTAACCCCAATTTTTGCCCGATAGACGAGGAGGATATCAATGCTTTCTGTGCCGGAATTAAAGCTAATCCAGATATCTCAGTGAGCATCATTTGACACGAGACGTTAGCCGAACACTCATGCTGTTGGTTGCCCTAGGGAATAGGAGTAAGTGAGACTGTATATGTGCAACTAGGGGGCGCGTGCCTAACTTGCCACCTAGGTTCGAGTCGCCATCTATGCTCAGACTTTTATAAGCATGGTGAGTCGGAAATGGTCTAACTTCACAGGTTTTTTGATCCCTAAACACAGATGATTGCCTCTTGGTTGCCCCACCACGAGAAAGCGTTTCGAGATACGTCAAGAAACTCGTATGTAGTGTCCGGGAGCTTGATCATTGCTTCCCTAATTACGTGGAAGACAAAAGGGCTGAGTCTGTTTGACGGGCTCGTGACTACGATGGTACGCCAACGTAAGAGTCTCATGGCGCCAACTAACTTTGTTCACACAGCTCACGACTATCATGACGGCGTTTGTAACGGTCAACGGCCCCTATGTGCGCTTCTATCATTGAGCCTTGTTCCGCATGACACTTACAAACCGGTAGATCCGTACTCTGGGACTTTCGATCAACATTGCTAGTTTGGTGTTCACCACGTTCTGGTGCTACTGGGGCCTTCAGATATGGTCAGACCCATGGAGCTTTGGTCTCCCCGCGGGCCGAACGGACTGCACTGCCAACCAGGATACCGTATTCGTCGTGTTTGGGCACACGGTTGGTGCTACCAGTCGCGGACTGCGCGGGTTTGCGATTTTTATATTCGCTATTGGTGCCATCTCCGCACTGTCGGCGCTATGGAGTACCTTCTCCTGGACGATCAGGTACCTCGTCGGGGATCCCGAAATCGCAAAGAGTAATGCGGCCATGCGGTATGCTAAAGAGATCAAGCGGAAGAACAGGGGCAAACGTACGTGCTTTCATCGTTTTCCTATACTTTGCTTGACACGATCCATACTAGGCACCTCTAGCCGAGCTGAACATGTCACTCGCTACGGTGGTATGGTGGGTATGATCTATATGATCGTCACCACCGAGCAGATTGTCCGGCGTAATCCAGGCGTAAAAGAGGACCTGGATGAGTGGACCTACGGTCAAACGATCGCGTTGATTATGCTTGGGCAGCAAATCATGGACTGTTTTTCATACTTTAAGGAGTATGTCTGGTACAGACACGAGCAAATCCAGGCAGACAAGCGGTATAATGCCCGTAACTTGGGCCCGTAGGTATCATCGTCTGCTTGATTCTGTTATGTGTGCTACTCTTGCTATAAACTCATGTCTGTCACGTTGTGATCACGAAATATCTTATTTATCAAACAAGCGCCTGCTCCCAAAGTTGGTTCGAGCCTTGATCTTGACGCTTTATGTAGCCCAAACTTGACCACCTCACTCGACTGAATTCCATTTCAATCGCTCACACCTCGGCCTTTGTTATTTTTCCGGCCTTAGAGTTTCCTTTTTCGGCGACGAAAGGGATTCGTTGCCAGCGCCTGAATCCACAGACATATCCGTCGCCGCCTGTCACTTTTGCTCTGCCAGTTGCGAAATATAACTACGGTACACACGTTATGCTTGTTGTAATAGCTAGTTGCTCGCCCTCCTTCCCGGTCTCGTTCTAGTTTATACCCTTCGACTATTCCCAGTCACAGTTTGGTCTATATGTCGTGCAGCGCCAATGATGTTACCGACTACTGCATGCAGATCACATCTAATCCTGATATATCCGTGAGTCGCGTTAGCTCTCCCCAAAGCCTGAACTGACGGTCTGATTTAATTACTAAAGGGGAAAGGTGTAAGCTATACTCATTTCGCTCTAAAACCCGTAGCCTTACTCATATCAACCAGGTCAGATTAGCCATCTATGTGCAAACGTTTCTCAGTATGGTAGGTGCTCGCGAAGTCGTCGGATTATTATGCACTAACGGCTTAACACTCAGTGTGTAGCATCTTTCTTATGGGACAACGAAAAGGCGTTTCGCGATACCTGTCGGAATTCGTATATCGTGTCTGGGAGTCTTATCATGGCTACGCTCGCTGCTTGGAAGACGGACCAGCTTAGTCTGTTCGACGCGCTTATTACGTCCATGGCAAGTTTCTACGACACAGTGTTTCGCCGTTTTCTAACTCTACAGATTATGTAGCTCACAACCCTCATGACGGCCTTTGTAACTGTCAACGGACCATATGTGAGTCCTGCTCACGTTGGATCGCTCGCACGGAGCGCCGACAATCTCGTAGATTCGTTCCCTCGGCCTGTCTATCAACATCGCAAGTCTGGTTTTCACCTC